GGGCGGGCGAAGAGCAGGACCCACCTTCCAGACCACCAGAAGCCACCTGTGTTTTCCAAACGGAGTCAGGCTGGCCTGTGAGCTGTGCTCCCCTAGCCTGAGAAAGCGGTCGGCTCTTACTTCAAAGAGCGTTTCTGTTTTTTTCTGCTTTCTACATCTGCGCTAACATTCTGTGATTCTTAGAGAACAAAAATTCTGAAGAGCAAAACGCAGAGCCAAGAATGTTTAAGCCAGAAGGGACTTCTGTGCGGAAGGAAACACACACGGCCCCGGCCCGCCCGGGGTCTGCGGCCGACCTGCCGCGGGTGGCCGGCCTGCGAGGGAGCGGGGCGCAGGCGGCAGACACCAAGGAGGACCTATTTATGCGGGTGGGTGGTCGGGCAGGAGTTGGATTTAGTCAAGCAAATTATTTCTTGGATACGACCACAAAAGCGCAGGCCAAAAAAGAAAGAGAAGCAGATAAGTTGGACTTCATCGAAATGAAAAACTTTGTGCATCAAAGGGCGCTATTCAGAGAGTGAAAAGACACCCCACGGGGTGGGAGGGAGCAGCCGCACGCCCCGGACCTGACGAGGGAGTGATGCCCAGACCACGGAAGGGGCTGCCGCAACTCAGCGGCAGAAACACCGAACGTCCAACCTTAAAACGGGCGAAGGATCTGAAGAGACGTCTTGAAAAAGAAGATATACGAATAGCCAATAAGCCCATGAAAATCACCATGTCGCTAATCGCCGGGGGAAATGCAAGTCACAGCCACGACGAGACACCGCCTCACACCTATCAGGGTGGCCGCCATCAAAGAGCAAAACCGAACAAAACGACAGAAATGATAAACGTCGGTGGAGGACTTGGAAGCCTCGTGCGTTGCTGGCAGGAATGTGAAATGCTGCAGCCGCTGTGGAAAAGTCTGGCAAGTCCTCAAAAAGCTAGACACAGGCTTTCCGTATGATTCCACTCCCACGCACGTGTCCAAAAGATTCGAAAGCACAGCCCGAAACATGCGTGTCCGCCGGTGTTCACAGCACTGTTACTCACAATCACCGCGAGGTGGAAACAACCCAAGTGTCTGTTGGTCGACAGATGAACGGTCCATCCACATGGAGGAATATTACTGAGCCTTAAAAAGGGAGGACGTCCTGACACCTGCCACGACACCGATGGACCTTGAAAACACTGCGCCAAGTGAAAGAAGCCAGACACGAAAGGACAGATGCTGTACAAGTCCACTGACGTGAAGTCCCCAGGAGAGTCACGTTCACAGAGACAGGAAGTCGGTCAGAGGTCGGCGAGGGGGGAGGGGCGAATGGGGAGTTAACGTTTGGTGGGGACAGAGTTTGTGTTCTGGGTGATGGCAAAGCTTTAGAAATAGGTAGTGGTGGTGGCTGCACAACATTGCGAATATAATGAATGCCACTTGATTGCACATTTAAAAATAGCTAAAATAGTGGCTACTGTGTTAGGTATTTTTTAAAAATTAGTAATGTAATATACTAAAAGCCATTGAACTGTGTACTTTAAATGGGCGGCTTGTCTGAGAACATGAATCCTAGCTCAATAAAGCTGTTAAAAAGCGAGGGCCGTTCAAGCCCCCAGGCAAAGGCCCCTAAATTTTAGGAAGAGGCTGGAAATGTCCCAGACGCGGGTGGTCTGGGGGGGTCTGGGGTCTCCGGGGGCGTGGCGGGGGGGGGGCGGGGGGGGCTGCGG